ATCTTAGCTGTAGAGGGCAGTGTCACTGGCCCTCATATGTGGGATCCGAACCGGGGCCCTCTGGCGTCCCAAGCCAGTTCTTAACTATCGCACCACTCGGCCGGCCCCAGCATCTTATTTTTGAGAGACCCGGCTGTCTTAATGCATTAGATTGCCCAGAAAGGGATATTTATTTTTGAACAATATGTGGGGAATATAGCTTTAATAAGACTTTATTAAAGAGTTTAAGAATCTTTTCAAACTTTTATTTGAAGCATAATATAAAGTATGTAAAGTATAATTATATAGCTCAATAAATAAACAGTATTCACACCTCTGTGACCTACATTCACATCAACACCAAACGTTAATAACACACCAAGAATGCACTCTCTTGTCCCCCTCTTGTTACCCTTTTCCCAAAGTCAACCACTTGAGTATTTTTTTAACCAGAGGTTTATGCATTTTATTTTATTCAGGTTTATTGAGGTGTAATTGACATTACGTTTGTTTTAATAAAATATTTCTTTTCCCTAATTTTGACCTTCCTATTTGTGGAGCTGTACAACATGCTCTTTTATATCTGGCCTCAAAGGTCCACTTCAAATTATCTAACCTCATTGTGGGCAAAGGATTACAATGAAAAGTGTGCTTTGTACCCTTGTTAACAAAAGAATTTTTTAGGAGGAATAAAAATCAATATATTATTAAAATGGATGAAAATTATACTATCTGGAGTAATTGAGTTATTACTCTGGAATATTGAGTTATTAAAACTGAGGTTTACATGTGGTTTCTCAGTGGTTGCTAAAAGTATTTTTAATATTAAGTGAATAGAGTATGACTAATATTCTTTAATTCCAAAGATAAGAACTTGTCAGAGAAAAAATTAGCACCAGATAATCCCAGAACATTACTTGTAGTTAAAAGTTTGTCCCGGTTGGGTTTAGGAGGTTCTTGCCACCTGGCTACCCAGGTACTTTTGTCCTTTCGTAGTCTTTAAAATATATATGCATTCCGCTACATTATTAGAAGGGCCGGAGGGATTTCTCTACATCATTTAACTGAATGCCCTGAAGTATAATCAATCATTTTATTTGCTTTGACAGGTATTTCCTTGGAAATGGCAGCTGTGACAGTAAAGGAAGAATCAGAAGATCCCGATTACTATCAATATAACATTCAAGGTAATACCATCTAATACAATTTTTCTTTCCAAAAATTATTAGTGGTTAAAACTAATCAATTTCTTGAACCATGTATATACTTACTTATATATGTATGTATAATTATAATTTATCACTGGAATAAAATAGATTTTAAAAATGGGATAATACAATAAACTCAGTTACAGGGGAAACGTAAAATTTGCCATATATATATATATATATATATATATATTATTTTTTTTAAGATTTTTATTGGGGAATTGGGGGATGGGAACAGTGCTGGGGAATTGGGGAAGGGGAACAGACAAGTTGCTGTCCCCCTGCTCTTCAGTCTAGCTATGGAGGACGTAGCCCCACTGGCCCAAGTTGGCACCATCATTGCGCTCTTCCCGAGCAAGGCAAATCAGTCGCCCACTTCTGGACGGCCGCTCACGGTGGTTGCTAGCCGCTCAGGCTGGCTGCTGGCTACATACGGTAGCCCATGGCAACCCACTGCAGCACAGGCTGCAGCCTATGCCGTGGCCAGGGACCCACAGCAGCCCAGCTCCAGGTTGAGCTGCTGTTCAGCATCTTAGCTGTAAAGGGCAGTGTAACTGGCCCTAATATGTGGGATCCGAATCGGGGTCCTCTGGCGTCCCAAGCCAGCTCCCAACCAATGCGCCACTCGGCCAGCCCTGCATATATATATTTTAAATATAGCCATTAATATTTTTAAAAGGACAAGCAAAAGTGGCACATAGAATTCAATCCCAGGTTCTTAATGTTACTTGCTAGGCATGAGAGGTCTTCTGCACCTTTAATAGCTCTATTTGTATGACAGTAATAACTGTTTAAACATTATAATCATCTTAAAAATTTATAAAGGGTAAGGCATTAATAAAATTTCTATATTTTTTATTTTGTTACATATCTTTTTATTTGATGACAAGGAAGGAATTAGGTTATAATTTCAAATGCAGTTTTTTATGCATCCAATGGCCTAGTTTAGAAGAATGTTTTCTATATTTAATAGTGTTTAATTTTATAGATGCATAAAGTACATTAAAACATTTAAATAATAAAATCTGATTTTTTAATGTATATGCTTATAAAACCATCTTCACTGCAGTCAAGATAATGAAATATCCATAACCTCCATGTTTCCTTGTGTCCCTTTGTCATTCATTGCCCTCCCCAGCCAACCACTGATCTATTTTCTATCATTTTAGATTAGTTTCCATTTTTTAGACATTTACATAAATGGAATCATAATAAAGTATGTACTGTTCTCTTGGCATGGGGTGCTGTGACTTACTTCATTACACATAATTGTTTTGAAATTCATAGTGTTGCATACATATATCAATAGCTAATTCCATTTTATTGCTGAGTATTACTGCATTCTATGGCTGTACTACAATTTGTTGATCTCTTTGTCTATTGATAACATTTTGGTTGTTTCCAGTTTGGGACTATTAAAAAATAAAGCTGCTGTCAACTTTTGTGTATAAACTTTTGTATGGAAATATACCTTAATTTCTCTTGAGTAGATTTGTAGAAATGGATTATCTGGGACATATGGTAGGTATTTAACTTTTAAGAAACTGCCAGACTGTTTTCCACAGTGCTTGTACTGTTACATTTCCTTCAGCAGTGTTCGATAGTTCTAGCCGCTCCGCATCCTTGTCAACACTTGTATGGTCAGTCTTATTCTTTTAAGCTATTTTTAGCCTTATGATACCACATTTTGGTTTTAATATGCATTTGCCTAATATGTCTAGTTCACTTAAAAAGATAAGCTTTATGAGTTCTGAAGCATTATAAAAGTATTACAAATAAATGTATTCTGTTTTGTAATCATGTGAATATCAGTATACATTTATTAAACTGTTTACATTTCAGCTTCTGTTTGTTGCCAATATATAGATCTACAGTAGATTTTTACATGCAGACCTTGTATCTTGTGACCTAGTTAAAATTCACTTATTAGTTTTAGCAACTTTTTGGAAAAATCTTCGGGATTTTTTCAGTATACATTGTTATTTTTTCCCTTTTATTTTTCTTGTGTTAATTTCACTGGCTGGGATCATCTAGTGTTCCATTGAATTGGAGTAGTGAGACATCCCTGCCTTGTTCACAGTTTTAGAAGGAAATCTTTCAGTATGACAGCTGTGGGATTTTTGCTGATGCCCTTCATCAGCTTGAGGAAGTCCCCTTATGTCAAAGTTTGTGAAGAGTTATTATGGTGATTGGGTGTTGAAATTTGTGAAAAGTCTTTTCTGTACCTATTGAGGTGATTATATGGTTTTTCTTGTTTTAGTCTGTTTAAATGATGACACTACTTTGTGAATGTTGAACCAGCCAAGTATTCCTGGGATAATAAACCCTACTTGGTTATGAAGTATGGTTCTTTTTATATATTGTCGAATGTTCTTAACCGATATTATTTTTAATTTTTAAATTTCTTTTAATAGTTATAGGACCATTCAATTTATGTATTCTTGGTTGATTTGGCAATTTGTTTCTTTTAAGGAATTTATTTACTTTGTCATAAATTTCCTCTTTTTTAATTTTATTTTATAACTGGCCATGTAATGTTTTTAATAAGTAAAAAATTTTCTAGGCAGTCATTATCTATAAGTAATGATATATTTCTATTCCTGTTGCTTTTAACTCTTGTTTTATATTTGATTATACTAACTTCAGTTCTTCTATTTTCCAATTTTTTTAAAATTACTTTTTATTGTGAAATACACATTTTTTAGAATTAGTTTCAGCTGTACAATACAGTGCAATAGTTATACTTTTTACCCCTCGAGGTGACAACCCCCCTCACCCAATCCGCCGCCCCACTTCCCCCCCCCAATATCATACATATCTATTACAATTCCCTTGACTCTACTTCCACACTATACTCCACATCCCATGACTATATATCTATATCTATATTCACTTATAGTTGACATACAATATTATACAACATCAACTTCAGGTGTACAGTGCAGTGATCAAGCCTCTACCCCATCCATGATGCGTTCTCCCTAACAAGACATGTGACCACCTGACACCCTACAAAATATTTACAACTTTATTAATTATATTCCTCGAACTGTCTTTCATGTCCCTGTGGCAATATTGTAGTTACGTATTTATGCTGTCTAACCCCTTCCCCTTCTCCCTCATCCCCACCCCTCTCCCAACTAGCAGCCACCAGTTGTTCCTCTATATCTCTGAGACTATTTCTGTTTACTTTGCTTGTTCAATCAGTTTTTTAGATTCCATATATAAGTGAAATCATATGGTATTTGTCATTCTCTGACTGACTTATTTCTCTTAACATAATAGTCTCATAAATTTCCTCTTTATTTTAATGTTTGCAACGTCTGTCATGATGTCTTATTGCCAATTTTGTAATTTGTGTCTTTTTTTTCTTGGTTGATCTAGTTCAGGGTTTGTCAAGCTTGGCAGTACTGACATTTAGATCACACAGTTCATTGCTGTGGGCATTTGTCGTTTGCTGTGCATTGTAGGATGTTTAGTAGCCCCAGTGACCTCTAGCCACTAGGTATCAGTAGCATCTTCCTAGTTGTGATCATCAAAATGTCCCTAGACATTGCCGTGTCCCTTAGGGGACAATATCACTCTCAATAGAGAACCGTTGGTCCAGATCTAGAGTTTTCTCAAAAAAAATTTTTGTCTCGCAAAGGTCTGTTACTTTTAGTGAATTACTTGTTTCTTTTTTTCTGCTTGCTTTAATTTTAATTTTAAAAACAAAACTTTTTTTACATTTTATTGGGAATTGGGGGAGGGGAACAGCATTGGGGAATCAGGGAAGGGGAGCAGACAAGTTGCTGTCCTTTTTGTTCTTAAGTCTAGTTGTGGAGGGTGTCGCTTCACTGGCCCATGTTGGTATTGTGATCATTGTGCTCTTCCCGGGTGAGGCAGTCGCTCACAGGCCATTGGACGGCCGCTCACGGCAGCTCACACTGGCTGCCAGCCACTCAAGGTAGCTCATGGCAGTCCACTGCAGCAGGGGCTGCAGCCTACGCCGCCCCTGGTGACTCAATGGCAGCCCAGCTCCAGGTTGAGCTGTTGTTCACCATCTTAGCTGTAGAGGGCGCAGCGCCACTGGCCCTAATGTGAGATCTGAACTGGGGCCCTGCTGTCCAGTGCTGGTGTCCCAAGCTAACTCTTAACCAGTGCTCCACTCGGCTGGCCCTAATTTGTTTTTATTTTTTTGTTTCTTAAGCTACAAGCTGAAATCATTGACTTGAAATTTTTTTCCATTATAAACATTTAATGCCATAAACTTCCTTCTAACCGTTAGTTTAGCTGTACCGCATAAACTTTGATTTGTCCTGTGATTTATGTAGAAGGGTGTAGTTTTAATTTTCACACACTTGTGGATTTTTCATATATCTTTCTGTTACTGATTTTCAGTTTCATTATGTTTGGAGAACATTCTTTGTATAATTTCGGTTATTTTAACTTTGTTAAGGTTGGTTGATAGAGTGGTGCAGGTCTGCTGTATCCTTACTGATATTTCTGTCTACTTGTTCTATCAATTACAAGAGTACTGAAATGTCTAATTGCCTCTGTGGGTTTATCTGTTTCTCCTTTCAGTTCTGTCCTTTGTGCTTCATGAGTTCTAAAGGTCTGTTGTTAGGTGTCAGTCCCAGTATCCTCCCCTTGGCTCATTTCCAGGCAACCCCCTTCCAGCTGTAAACCTTGTCCTTACTTGTAACAACCTTGATTAGTTTTGTCTGCTTTGGTATTTCATATAAATAGAAGCCTTCCATATGTACTGTTTGTTTTGTGCTGCTTTTGTAAAATATGATTTGTGAGACATTGTTGGGTGTACTTCATTTATTTGCATTGCTATATTGTGTTTCTAAATTGCTTTTTAAAATGAAATGTTTAAAATTGACATACATAATATACATCTGCTCAGGTTTACTGAATCTTAATATTTTGTTGTCCCCCATCTCCCACATGATGTGGCATGTTAAATATGTAATTGACACCCTTCTTTGAGTTGTTTCAGATTTACACTTTCTCCCCTATGCCTTCTGAGTTAACCATTTTCTTGAAATGGAGGGCTGTCCTTCCTGATAATGATTTTATACTTTTACTGTGTATATATTCCCACAGAAACGTCTGTATATATATCCATCCATGTACTTATATTTTATGAATAGTATTTTCTCAGTTTTTAAGCTTGACACAAATGGTATCATACTGTATATGTTGTATATATATGTTTTTGTGTTTCGATCATTCAATATAAGTTTTCAAGATGTATGTATTTTGTCACATGTGGTAGTTACATTGTATGATCATTTGTTCATTCTTCTATATAAAGCCATTTATGTTTTCTTCCAAAACGTGGTATTCCCAAATAGGCTTGGACACATCTTCCTCTAAGATGGTGGTGCTCAGATGTGAGCTTTGATAGAGTTTGATTTTCACAATGACTGGTACATACTACTAGCATTTTGAGTGTGAGGGTCAAATATGCTGCCTAGCGTTTGAATAAAATCTATATAAGTGCTGTTAAAACATAGTTGCTAAAATTAAACATCATTGATAATCACTTGAAAGTATAATGATCTGTGAAGGTATGCTGGGCAAATATTAACCAAAAGAAATTAAGTTTCACAATATTAATTTGAGGCCAAAAAAAAAAAGAAAAAAGTATAGAGTAAGGCTACATAATATATATAGTAATAAGTCACTAAATTGATAAAGCAATCATTAATTTAATATACCTAACAATGTAGCCTCAAAATAAAAGTAGAAATAAAGAGTTACATAATTAAGATATATTTATAGATCTGTAATCATGTGGGAAATTGTAACAGAAACACATGATGAGTACTTATAAATGATAAATAGAATATTTGAACTCTACAGTTTATAAACATATGCTAGTTGATGTATATCCAGAATTCTATACCCAGCAAATAAATGTTTATTTACAAAGCATGGATTACAAAAATTGCCTTCATACTTGTTCACAGATAGTGTTAAAAAATTCCTTGAACATAATGTAATGTAGAACTCAGGTTATTTAAAATAGAAATCCTGTACACTGGGAATCCTAAGAAATATATTTGACTTAAAGAAGACCTCTTTAAAAAAATTAGGACAGAACAGTATTGAAAATGCCACATAGCTGAACTTGTGAAAAAGCAGCTAAAGCAGTATTTAGAAGTCAATACCCTTATCTATCATTTAATTAATTTTTTTCTGTATATTTTACCCAGGATCACATCATTAGGAAGCAGTGAATCTGGCATTTGAATTCAGGTCTCTTTCATTCAATCTTGCTCTTAGTTGAGATTCCAAATACATAAAATTTTTGTATTTTCTATGAAATTATTTTCCTCTATGATGTGTCCTTTGCTTATAAAATAGTTTTGTGCCTCTTCGTGAAATTTCTCATGCATTAGCAAGACTTTCAGAAGTCTTAGGATATTTTTCAAATAATAATCAGAGATAGTAGAGTGGTTTGTATTCATATTCATGTAACAACATGTTTTATGTTAAGTAGCCATTGGAAACACGTTTTCTCTTTTAAATCTGTTTCTTTCATCACTTAACTGCTTTGAATAATACGCGAACATGCAAATATCTTACCATAATCTCTTAAAATAGCATTTTGTGAAGGTTTAATTAACCCAAACTACTTTATATGTTAATGATTGGAAAGAACCTTGCTATTAAAAAGTTCTTATGGATCTGCAGGAAAGGGGGATTGGATTCTGAATTAACTATTAGTTTGTCATGTTTCTATTTCAGTGGAGATTCAAGCTTACTGCTAGTTTAATTAATGATTTTAGAGACTCTTAAGAAAAGTATAACAATTTGATTCTGCCTTTTTCTTCAGTATGACAAAAAATTAAGCAAATATTTGTCAAGGAAGGAACAAATACACCTTGTAAGATAAACCTGCACTTGCAATCTGTATGACATAAAAGTGGCAGTTTGCTATTATGAACCGTTTACTGTTTTAAAAAACCCATCCTCACCATTTTAGACATTCCATTCCCATCCAATCCATACTCGAGTCATTTTCAAAATTTCTTTTGACTGTCTATGTACAAATTTATCTGAGCACACTTTTTCCATTCACCAAGACCATAAATTGACACCACTCATTTTCAGTCATATATTTTTTTTAATTTTGCCTTTTTGTTTATGAAAAGGCTGTATTATTCAATATCTTTCACCCAGATTTCTTTACTAAAGTGACCCAAAAATATTTTTGGGATTACTTTTGAAGTATTATCTTTGTATTCCAAAGCAGGCCCTTCTGAAACTGGTGATGTTGATGACAAAGTCCCCCTTTCGAAGTCTTTGCAAGGTATAACTTTTTCACTTCCATTTTCCCACATACTGTTTATATTTACTGTTTCTTTATATTGGACAGACTGTGTTTTAGTATTTATATCTGTATTATTACTTTTCTAAATGGAAAAGGAAAAAGAAATGTATTGGCCTTTTTTAAAAAAAACATATAACTGAACTTCACAAGCAACAATTTTTCAAAACCAATTTTCCCTTTTGTGAATCTAGTAATGAATCTCGAAATGGGTACATGACACACTTTCATATTTAAGGTAAAGTACACATTTATACCTTATATCAGAATAGTCAGAAGTAAGGTTTTTATTGTATAGTAAGTAATGTAAATATTGAAACTAAGGTCGTGTTGATACTTAGCTTATTGAAAGATTGTAAACATCACTTGTAAATCCCTAAGTTTATTAATTGAATTCCTTTTTGGGAAGTTTTGTATAGTGCTCCCTGACTTGATGATTATAGGCTATTTGTGATGGCTTTTACGTCTATCTATCCTGGCTTTGAGCGCATAAGGTTTATTTTCTTTAGCTTTACTTTTAATATAAATGTGATTGCTTATTTCAGATTTAAATAACCAAAAGGCACATAGAATCGCTGTTTCCATGCAGTCTTGTAATGTTGTGGAGGTGGAACAACCACCTTAAGTGCTCTTCTCCTTTACCCAGTCTTTCCTTTTTAAGTACTGGTCTCTTCTCCATTATCCCTCATTGCTTTGACCTCACATGTTTTTTTCAACATTACAGTCAAAGAATCTAATGCTCCGTAAATTCAATTGATAATGTTTAAAAATAGGAGGGAAGGGGCTGTGTGTTGAGAAAGCGTATTTAAAAAGTTAATTAAAGAGTAAATCAGTGCTCTAGATTTATAGATTTACCTAGCATTTTGCGCTCAGGTGAGTTTCCATAATATGAAGTAAGTGGGAAAGAATCCCAAGGTAATTGTGGCATGATAAAGCTAGACAAGGAAAACCAAAATGTTTTACCTTAGTGTATGGCATTTTAAATTCAAAGATACTAGACACTAAATGACAGTTTCTGAAACTGTGGTCGATGCTTTTTAAAAGTAGTAAAAATAAAATATATTTAAAACCTATGTCTGAGGGTTGTACGTTTAGTACAGTTTCTGAAATTAGGTGACAAAATGAGATTTGATCTTGCTTCCCCTTTCCCCATGTGATTTATTCTTACTCTTAGGTAATATATGTGTACACAGAGACAGTGATTTTCAACCTTTTTTGTGTTAGTAGCTCAGACATTTAAGGACGGAGGATGAATATTTTGGGGCAGTTGGTGTACTTAATCCTAAGTGGCTCTGTGATGTTTTAGATTACTTCTTTCTTATTTGTGAGTAAAGCTTCTGCCCTAGTAGGATGAGCCTGTTTCCCTTGTGACTGCCTAACCTGATACATTGCTTTATGTTCCAGTTTTTAGAAGCAGGCAGATTATATTACCTGAATTAAAATGCTTTTGAGACTAAAGGTAGTATCTTAAATTTTAACTTACAAATTTCCTTTAAGTACAAGTTTGAATAAATAATGGGGATTGAGTTTCCATAGCTTCCACTATAGTAAACGTGGGAAGCCGGAAACATTTCACAGCAAAACCTGCACTTGTTAATCTAGACTTACTAGAGTCCATGAGCAAAGAAAGAATTTATTCTGATTTGTGTTTTTTGTGTGTGCGTCATTGACAGATGAGCATGGTACTTTGAAACATATTGTTCTATTTCTCTAATTCTAACATCTATGAGTAATTATATTGTGTAGTTACAGTAACTAACTTTAAATCCCCAAACCTACTTAGGTTTACTCTATATGTTTACATTTTTAAATAATTTTTTGAGTTTTCAAATAGAACTGTTAAATGTTTTCTGAATTAGATCACATTATTTGAAATGACTGCTAAGGAGTTAAAAGAATCAGTTTGTGTATGTTTTGTTATATTTTAAATTGTTTGCATTGTTACCTAGTTTCTCTTCTTTCAATGTACTTTTTTATTGGTTTATTATATGTGGTTTATTTTCTTTTTAGGAAGCCATCATTCTTCAGAGAGCAATGAAGGAACAGAAATGGAAGTACCAGCAGAAGGTTAGAAATAAAGGAATTTTTATTTTGCTTGTATTTGTATTATGTTTGTATCATAGAGAATATTATCCTTAAAACATCTTATTTGGAAATAAAAAGGTGATTGTTTTGGTATGCCTTCTTAGCCAACAGGTTTTTATTTTTTAGTCCTAAACTGTAGTATACCTCTTTTACTGTACTGAATAATAACGCATATGGGGATGAAAACTTAAGTGGTAAGTAAAACTCTTCCTGATGCAAAATGCTCCCCCTTTTTTTCTGGTCATCTTGTGCCATGTTAAAGTTTTTTAGAGAAAGAATGGCTTCAGTATTTTAGAATTAAAATTATTATTGGCTCTTCATACTTCATTTTAAAACATATTATTTAATGGTGCCATGTTTTAAAGTAGGATAATATGTTCTACAGAAGATGAGTAAAGGAGAGATTTCCTCTCTGCTTATTACTATACCCACAACTACCCACTGAACCACTTCGTCTGTTTAACAGCCGTCTTCCTTTGTTCTCATGATTGAATGACAATTTTACTGGTACAGCTTTTTTAATTCCTGGAATCTTGAGTTAAACTGTTATCATGTAAAATGGATTCCTATTTCTAAGTGGTTTGTATAGCTTCAAAACAATTTTTATTGATTGCTCCCAGGAAAAATGACTGGTAAGGTAACTTAATCTTGTTTTAGATTTTTTTTATTTATCTCATAAACTGGTTATGTTGTACCTTATTTTTCCAGGATAAAAATAGAGTCTGTTCTGTAACTTTATTCCTTATATTTGCTTTTTCATTTTATTTTTAAAAATCGTTAATTTGATCTTTTACCCTCTTTGAGTGGAGGGTGTTCTTAAGGTCCCTGGAATGTTGGCTAATCTTTCCAAATTCAGTTTTAGAATTAGGGTTTCTAACTGGAATACATTTCTTGCAGAAATATTGAAATGTTAATTTTAAACAATATTTTACATTTATTTTTGACATCTTTTTTATAGAATATAGTGTGGATGAATTTTTTAACGTTTTACTGTGTAGAGGTAATTAGATGTTTCCTGTGTTTTGGGTAGGTGGTATTTACAACAATAAAATACCTATATACAAGACACACAGTACAGGGCTCATCAGGCAATATGAATTACTCCACAGTTTATAATTCTGTCATTAGATACTAGGCTTTGAAGTACTTTATTTTTTGGGATACTTTTATTGTTATATTGCAGTGTTAATAGAATTGAATCAAACCTGGGTTCTGGTCTTTATTCCTTTACTAACCAATAAGCATAATCTTTGGCCAATCAATTAATCTCTCAACCTTTGCAAAATGAGAGTTGATGAAGATACTTTCTAGCTGAGCTTCTAGCACTAACGTTCTGATGTACATTTATTTATTTTGTGTAGTAACACAAAAATTAATAAAATATTTAATTTTAAAAAGTATCTTGCATATAAAGTTAGGGGATCTAGTCTTGTATGCATTTGTTATAGTCATCTTGATCTGAAGGTCCCCACTGCAAAAAATTATTTTATTTAACAACATAAACCACTCCTATGATTTCTGAAAGCAGAGAAGCAATAGTGAAGAAAAAAAAAAATAGAAAGCCTTTGTTTTTATTCTAGCATTTTTTTTAGTTACCGTAGGAAAATAATTGTGACTTCATTATAACCTCATTTCTCTAAAAATACAAGTTTTTTCGAGTCCATTAATGCAGGTAACTTGGTGTTATCTAATAGTTTTCCAGAGTTTTTCTACTTTTTGTTTTTTCTTATCCCTATTTATAATTAAAAGGGTCAGATATTTTAATAAATATGAGATGAATTAAAATGCCAGTGAAATTTTATAGTAGGCTGCTTTTGGAGTATCAGATCAATAAAATGTTGGAACATATAGAAAGTGCTTTATAATGAATGTCATTTAGAATTTTATTTTTTTCAAGATTCTACTCAACATGTCCCTTCAGAAACAAGTGAGGACCCCGAAGTTGAGGTGACTATTGAAGGTTAGTTATCGAAAAGCCTTGATTCCAACAGTTTACTTCTGGTCATAAAAACACTTGTCACATTCACATTTCTAAGTATGCATTTCATTCATTCTTAAAGGAAACTTGTGATGAAAAGTGAAGCATATATGTGTATGTGTGACCAAAGCAGCCCACTTCCCAGCAGTGCACCCAGTGCTGTGGTAGATTTAGATGACAGAAGTAAGCCGTGAAAATGAGCGGTGGACAAGCTATACTTTCTGTCATTGGGAATCGAGAACAAAAAACGAAAACTATGACCAGACTGGATGCACACAGAACCAGATTCTGTAACCTGGTACTGAGTTGTGATAAAAGAGACCTAATTAGTATCAATAACCCTGATACCTACTTGAGTCAAGTGGAGGAGAAAGCGTTGATAGCTTAGTCAATTTTTAAAGTGAGTTTTCTCCCTAAAATACTATTAGAGGATAACATATAACCTGTTCTTAAAAAACTTTTTGAATTAGTAGCCACAAATATATTCTAAATTAATCTCTATAGCTAAAGTTACTTCAAGCCTAGTTTTTTCTTCAGAGGTAATGCATGAATGCAGATGAGCCAGTTTGTCCTGAATTACTTAAAAATTCAGCAAATATAATTATTAATAGTATCACATTTCAATTCAGCAAATATAATTAATACTATCACATTTCATATTTAACAATTATTAAATATGTATTTTTTTCTTTTTAAATTAGTATCTCATGCTACTCTTTTATAAATTTTTTTCTCCTGAAGTAATTTTTTCCTAAGGTGAAATATTGAAACAATACTACAAATTTCACTGTGTAAAGTTCATTTATCCCTGCCCTGCTCTAAAGTCCCTATACTCTGTTTATTATACATCTAAAAAAATTTGATGTATATATAGTTGTATGAAAATATATAAATGCTTTCCGCATACATTATAATAAACATTAAAATACACATATATCACATTTCCCATAGGTTTTTTTCCATAACCAC